AAATCATTATTCTTAAATCTTTTGAAATTTCAGAATTAACTTTTTTTATTATGATAATATATTGAAGATAGAATTGACAAGATATGGCAATGACATAAATTATGATGATGCTTACCAACCTTTAGACACCATCCAAATAATACCAATCAAGAATATAGATGTTAGTCACAACTTTTGATGGTGGTCACAATAACCTTTGTGATTGTAATAACCTTTGTGTTCATAATAATCTTTGTGTTCGTAATAACCTTTGTGTTCGTAATAACCTTCATGATCGTTTTGTTTTCTTCTTTGAATTGTAATATGGATATATTTGTCAATAAAACATCATAAAAAAGATCAAGATGTGTAACTACATTAGAAGCTAAAACTACATTACATCTGTTATCCAAGAATAAATTTCTGAAGAATAAACATTAAACTATCTTACCTACTTTAAATATGAAAGCAGATCTAAGTGTAAAAAGTAATGAAAATATATGTTTCATATATTTTTGAAAATTCCGTCAAGTGAGTCGTCTTTATGGTACTAATGAAGTCTAAAGAACAAGGTTCGCTTTGGTTTATTGACTATTGTAATCAGCATAAAGTTGCCTTGTTGAAAAGAATCAACGTTTTTAGTGTAAATTTTCGTGTGTATTTTGACCCACTATTATGAGTTCAAAAAGCGGCTTTATTTTAAATAAAAGGTGCCAAAATATTTATTGAAACTTCAAGAAAATTTTTTATATATATCATTTTTTTAATCTATTAAGAAGTTTATGTGTTATAAATGTTAAAAGAAATTTTTGGCATTCAAGCGAATGTTACACGCACTAATTAAAAAAAAGAGAAAGGATTTGCACACTGACTGTTATGGAAGAAATTGATAGAAATAATGAGTAAAAATCCTTTATCACGTGATTTATTTTTTAACTGTATTTTTGAAAATTTTTTTCTTGAATTTGATACATGGGCGCAGTAATTTGATGGCTTATGATGTTACGCACTGTACAAATAGAAACTGCAGATATATATATTCAATTCAGCTTACCGCAATTTATTTTTCAAATATAAATGACCATTGTGTACGGAGAAAAAGAACTAAAAATCATTCGAATCATTTTTACTTTAATAAAAAAATTTTATTTTTCCTTGTTATTATTACAAAAACCTCATATTTTTTATTTATTCGGCTTTTTTTATTTTAGTAATAGTAAAATTAATAATAATCTATTATTACTATTGCTATTATTACTATTACTATTAAAAATCGAGTTTACATCGAACTTAAGATATGTCATCAGAACGTGAACTCTTGATCAATCGTTTACGCAATCCGAATCGTAGCCTCGAAACAATAAAGAAAATGGCAAAACAAATTGCTCAAGATAAGAGAGCAGTTGACCCGATCAGAATTAATGCCTTTCAGGTATTAAAGCGTTATTTCATCATAGAACCCAAAGTCAAGGAATTGCCTATTGAAGATAAACAGCTGTTAGCAAAATTGTATAGAGAGCAAAGAATAATAAGTATCTATGCAGAGATTGCAAACAAAATCCGCGAGTTGTTAGAATTAGATGAATCAAATACCGAAAATAAATCTCCCGCATCAGACATTTTACCTGTTCATTAAATTAATCACAAAAAAAAATCTATAATAATATTAATTGACACTATCAACAATCTCAATAATTATCAATAATATCAAAGATCAATAATAAAACAACATTAACAACATTATTAACATTATTGATATTATGGAAACCACGCAATAGAAATATATTATTTGTTTACTTGCACCAACACCTAATACCTAATACCTAATACCTAATACCTAATACTTAATATTAAAAAAAGAATTGAGGAAAGATTATATATAAAGGCATAGTAACAGAGAATCTTACATATAAGTAAAATTAATAATACCTGGATTTTGAAGTAGAATTTCCTTGAAAAATAATCTTTCGGTAAAATTAATACAACATTAATATCAATAATACATCTATATTAAATACTTGATTAATTAATATTAATTGTATACTTAATACCTAATTAATATTTATTTATTTATTACATTAATATCTTTAATATCTATTTAATAGATTCCAGAACTGGCAGGTGGTATTGATAATCTTTATTCTACTATAATAAGACTTGTGCAAACTTTTGTGAAGCCTACCATGCCTTTACTTGTACCTTCTACAGGTGAATAACTGGATCTTTACAGCTCCAACGTCAACCCAAGATCCCCATATATGGTTTAGCACTAAACTTTTATTGATCAGGAATCAGGCACTAAACCATATACAAGAAACCCTGTAACTGAAGTGATCAACAGGCTCAAATAACATTAATTTACTTGAACCTGGAGGACTTTTTGGTACAAGGCACAAAGTGAGTATCTTTTTAAAAATTAATCAAAGTAACACGTGTATAGACACATATGAGAAGTCCTGTAGGAAAAAGGCGCTTATGTAATGTTGAGAAAAAATCAATATCTTTTTATTGCTAGATCACTCTCATTACATATTTTACAAGCATTTGTTATTAATAAATTATTTTGAATTTATTTATCAATGATATAGGGAGGGAAAAATGCAGCTAGTGCCCATTATCTATCAATTACACAATTTACAAGGGTAATTTTTCATCCCGATGATGATAAATTGTTTGAACCAAAATGGCATATTCCAATGGTTCTTGTAAATGGTGCAAGAGGAATTGGAACAGGCAAGCATCATTATTATAATTATTTCTGATAACTAATAAATTTTGGAAAGCCATTTTTTTCTCTCATACACATATATACTTATTTTTTAGGTTATAATACCAATATCCAAATTATAAACCTTAAGTCAAAAATCAACTCAATAATGGGTAGTTGATGGTATGATTAATATTTTACAAAGATTTAGAAATTACAGCAATTTGGTTATTAAAATAATGGTTTAAATTGGAGTGATATCTATGAAATCTTAGCCTTCCCAACAGATATCATTCATAATTTAAGACGAATAATTAATAGTAATGAATTAGTTCCAATGCATCCATGGTATCGTAGTTTCCAAGTAATTATTGTGAATTCATTTTGCATATATGTTTATGGATTATTACATAATTGTTTATTCTTTGGTTATTTATTTAATATTAAGGGCAAAATAAAACAAATTGAAGGGAATAAATATTTTTCATATGGTGTTTTGACCAAAATAGGTGAAGCACACATAATGATTTCTGAATTTCCAGTTCGTAAATGGACTGAAAATTATGAATCGGAACTTGCTGACTTGATAGCAAATGGTTTTATTAAGGTATGCTTCCACATAAATGTAACTTTTTATTATAATAATACTTGGAATTTACATACAAAAAAATTTTTACATATTTTAGGGCATTGTGAAAAATAATTGTATAATGAAAGAAATAGACCTTGAAATCATCAACAGAAAAATATTTCAAGTTGCAAAATAAAATATCTACATCCAATGTGATGTGAACAATAAACTAAGCAAAGATAGTACTCCTGAAGAAATTCTTATCAAGTAAGGTTAAGCCTTTATGATAAGAGAAGGGTAAGTTTATAATAAATAACTGTTTTTTTTTATTTGAAAATTCAAGTAAATTAATTAATTCTAAAATTTGTATTTATTAGTTGTATTTAATTAAAAAATTGGAAAACATTTGAGTAAAGCAAAAAATAAAGTTTATTCAAATGATTAGGAATGGAAAAATAGAATTTGTAGACTACATAAATAAAAATAATGCTGAAAAGGCAAATTTGCTTGAATCAAAAATACATGTTGATCTTCAGACGGTGAGGGCTACATTTACATTAAAAAATAAGAATCCATGAATTGGAAATAATCAAAAAAATAACGGGGAAAGATCTCTGGACAAAAGATCTCGATGAATTAGAAAAAATATGGAACACGTTTATTGATAATGACAGAGAGAATATGTCACCACCATCATCTTCTAATACATTTAATAGCAAAAAATCTAGGTCTAAAATTAATACAATTTTAACCAATAATAATGAAATGAATATAAGAAGTGGATTCAAAAAGAAACATGACATCAATAGTTGATGATAAAAAATTGAAATTTGCACGACATAATTAATATTGTTTTACTTGTTTTATGTAATTTAAGAATAAATCTTTATAATTGATTATTTGCATTGATAAAAATTCATTACTATTACTAATACTAATAATGATGTTAAATAATGTTCACTTTGTTGCCCCATATAATGTACAGCATGAACCGGAAAAAATCCAGGTTGGATTATTGTTAGTAATAGTAATAGCCATTTTTTTCCGAAAAAGATTTCTGGCCTTAATTATGTGAAGATAACATTAGCCATACGGAATAAAAAGTCCCCGCGTACCATTTATATCCCTATGTCACATTCTTACACATAAAGATCTTTTTTCCTCTAGCTTATTATGGATACATCTGTACCAACTACATGTCTTGCTAGTATATGCTTTAGAAACCTGTTTTCCGTGTTCTTCGAAATTCGAATGAGACCATGTTTCCTATTTGCTTTTCTATTGATCATTAAAACTAGGAATATTGATTATATCTAGAGTAAACACAAGCCACAATGCAGGTTTTTCATTTATAAGATCACGGGTGTGTTTTCTTATTCTTGTTTAAACACGACAATTACGTTTTTGTCTGGACTTTTAGTTATTGAGTTACCCCATATTTCTTTATTTCTTGTTTCATCACAGCCATTGTAGAAAAACAAGTAAGACAATCGATTAATTAACTTAAATATGATATTGTTCATAGTGATTATTATGTTAGAAAGTGCGAATACCTGGATCTAAAGAATATTCTTTTCATGGACTCAAATAAAACGCCCATTGCTTATTGTTGTCGAGCTAGCTATCACATTCCTTTTTAGCAAAGCGAACAATAGTTGGCCCAACTTAAAATGGAGTGAGAATGTGTTGAGGGGTTTTTATGTATCAGAAGTTATTCTTTTTCGAAAAAAGAAGGTATGGATAAAATTTACGATTATCTTTGCAATAATTGTTGACGAATTACTATTGTTGTTATTTGTACGACAAGTAATGAATGACAATCAGGTTTTTTGCAAAATAAATGCAAATAAACAAGTTCGCAAACTTGAATTGACTCATTCTGACGTATCATATTCCATTTACACGTAAATTCCAGAATATGGAAGTTTTTCAACATATTTATATTTATTATTACATGCTTCAACAACCATATTGTAGGCAAGCAACTAACAGTTATTATTAAAATCCAAAGTGTTTATTTACCTTACCACACGCTGTTTATAATATCTTTTTGTTTGAATTTGGCTACAATTGAATTTTAATACTTTTTATTATATCCCGATTTTTCTCCTTTTTCTGCAAATGCAAAACTTTCTTTTATTATTACTACTATTGGTTTCTTTGGTTTCTCTATTATTGTTTTTTTCATAAAATTAATGTGTGACGAGGATAATAATCATTTTAAGGAATAAATTTTGGTCGTGCCGTGATAACTGGGTAAAATAAAGTCAACAGAATCCTTTATAATAGGTAATCACAAACAATTCGATCAAGAAGGTAATGGAGGATAAACAACATGAATGAAAGTATCATTTTTGTTAAGATACGAATGGGAAAAACCAAATTTGTTAATGAGATGAGTTTGACGAATTACATTTATCGTAATTATTATAGTTATTATTGAAATTTAAAGGTTGATTCATCACCACGTACGTGCTGAATATCTTGTCTATAAAGGAAATTGTATTGCATATATAAATCTTCAACAAAAAATTAAATACAGTACGTGCATATAAATCCTAATTTATCTTGAATGAATCATTTCAAAAACTTGTTAGTTATCTCTTTAAAATATTTCAGTGCAACGTTTCAATCAACATCCGAAGACTAAAATATGGATTATTCAAGTGTAAAAAAGGTATTTTACTTCCATATTATTCATATTGTTTATACTTTGCTTTATTCATAATTCTCATAAGATGGATAACGATGGTATTGGGTTTGTTTATGTGACAAAGAGGAGGAACGTGACTTTTGTTGTTGCTCAGCTGGTACTCTACGTTGGTTCTTTCCGAGCCAATGGCAAGAAACAATAACATTAAACTCTTGATGATAGCGAAAACAGCCGAATTATCAAGTTCCATTTACGGTAATTAAATCAACATTTGCAGGAAGATAACAAGTTCTCTCAGAATAATCTGTTAACAAAAGATTAAATAAATTGCTATTTCCGTAAGTAATCGCTGCCTTTTTTTAACGGCTAGACTTTACTATTATTGTTGTAATGAAAAATGTCGATCATAGTGACAATTAATTGGGGGAAGTCATTAATATTGTTTATTAGTCTATCTCTCTTCTATAATACTTTAAGGGAGTGTATCAAGAAGATGAGGGTAATCAGAATAATAACGAGAATAACGAGAATTTTTATTTCTTGATTTTCTTAAAAAAGATCTTCATAATAATAAATAAATTGTTGTTTATATTGAACAAATAAAATAATGTATTATTATATTATTGTGTATATATCCAAATTTGTATATTTGATATGAATTTATATTATTATTACTAATTAATTATCATCATTATTTAAATAAATGATTTTTCTTCCTCTTTAAAAATTTTTTTTTTATTTTTTACCATTTATTATATACTAGTTAAACATATATACTATTTTTCCGATATTTTTTTTTAGTTCGATTTTTTTCTTTTTACAAGAAAAGACATGGCATCTTCAACACGCTCAATGAACATTAACAACGAAATGAGCGGTAACCATATAAAAACATACAATCCAAGGAATGAAAATTCCGAGGATAAAAAGAAGAGAATATTAGCTGAAAAAGCTGCTAAAAAACGTAGTGAAGCCATCGATAAAGAATTAAAAGCTGAAAGAGAGAAAGCATTATTATTAAGATCCAAAAGTGCGAAATTATTACTACTAGGTAAAACACATGTATATAAATATATATATATCCATTTATATATTTATATAATATCTCATAATCTTCTATTATTATAAAAGGTTCCTCTGAAAGTGGCAAAACAACAGTTTTGAAACAATTAAAAATCATTCATGGACATGGTTTAGAAGAGGAACGTCAACGATATCGTAGAATAGTTCATTTGAATGTACTTACTGCAATGAAATCATTGACAAATGCACTTCAGTTCTATAGTCACACCTTGAAACCAGAGAATGAACCACATCTTGAAAAATTTATTAAATTGACATCGATAAAAGAAACATTGAATCGTGATTCTATCAGTGTTCAGGCTGCTATCAAAGATCAGAAGCTGGATGATAGCGCTTTGGATGTGTTTAACGAATATGCTGAATCCGTTAAAGCATTATGGACAGATCCTGCAATTAAACTCTGTTATAAATACGCTGGAAAAATTGGTTTACAAGACTCTGCACAATAGTAAGTGTAATTTTTGGTGAATTTTTTTTAGAGGGGGGATTTCTCTCATCTCTTCTCATTATTCATGTCTCATCTCGTTATCCACGCATTTATCAACACATTAATCTCACCTCGCCACCACGTTTCATCCATTCTTGTAGCTTCCTTGATAATATCGATAGATTTGTCGATGAAAATTATTCACCATCAGATTCAGACATATTACAAGCAAGAATTAGAACAATCGGAGTGACAGAACATACATTTGATGTAAATGATATAATATTCAGGATTTTTGATGTTGGTGGGCATCGATCTCAACGACAATTCTGGGCACCATATTTTGATGATGTGGATGCAATAATTTTTATGGCTGCAATATCGGCATATGATCAGACATTAGAAGAGGATGATAAGACTAATCGTATGCAAGATTCTATTAATCTATTTGAGAGAATATGTAATCATAAATTATTTAAAAAGACTGGAATAATTTTGTTTCTGAATAAAATTGATATCTTGACACACAAACTTACATTAACACCAGTCAAAAATTATTTTCCTGATTACGAGGGTAATTAAATATTTTTAGTAGCGTTAAAAAAATTTTTTTTATTAATAAACGTACTAATGGTTTATAATATTTTTATTATTCAGGCGATAATAAATTTGGCAGTGTTGGTAAATACTTCCAAAAAAAATTTTTGAGCTGTAACGAAAATGATAAAAAGCATATTTATATTCATTTCACACATGCTACAGTAAGTCATATTCATATATATTCATGTGTTGTTTATAATCAATTATTTTATTGTTTATCATTTATATATTTATTTACAAATACATTTCATGTATGTATTTAGGACACAAAACAAATGAGAGTAATTGTAGCTTCAGTGAATGATATTGTCCAAAGAATTAATCTTGAAAAGACGGGACTTGTCTGATCAACTAACCAGATATAATTTATTATTTATATATTTATTTACAACTACATCTCATGCATGTATTATGATACAAACAAAAATGGGGCAATTGTAGCTTCAGTGAACGATATTGTCGAAAGAGTTAATCTTGGAAAGGACAGGACACAAACTAGACATTTACTTATTTTTATTATACATAGAATAATTGATACTACATATATATATATATATATATATATATATATATATATATTTTTTATAATACAAAATTTAAATTATTTTTTTAAATTATTTAAATATTAATATTGGTTTATGTTTTTCCGGCGAATAAAATTTACTAAAAAATTGATAATAATAAATAATTTTTTATTTCATGTGATAAATAAAGGACCCTAAAGCATCCAGGGTAAATTTAATTATTTTTTAGGTCCCAGACTTTTTGATAGTATATGGATATATTTAATATTTTGATCTTCGTTCTTAAAAATATTACGAAAATATGATGTAAATGTCTGTAAAAGTATAAAAATAATTAAGTAATTCCCCTATAAAATTTCTCACATTATAGATAAATAAATCCATAAATTTTTTCCCTGTCGAAAAAATAAAAAAAAAATTTTCAAAATATAACTTTTAAACTGTTTATTCGTTACATTAACAGAACTCCTTTAACCATCCCTCTTATAAGATCATTTACGATGACTAAATCAAGAGACGTTATCAGCGAGATAAAGATAGATCATAAAGTAATTACAGATCTTTGGGAGCGATTTCAAACAACAGCAGTAGAAAGTGAAAAACAAAAAATAGCAAACTCGATTATTCGTGAAGGTATGTGTGTTATTTAATCGAATTCTGTGAAGAAGGAAATCCCAAATTATTTAGATTTTTGCATTTTATTACACGAAAAACTGATAATAAATCTTTTATTTATGAAAATAATAATTTTTTACAGTTGCAGTTCATTCTACTTGTGAAGAGATCGTGTTGTATCCTACTTTTGAGAAATATTTGAAGGACGGAAGTCAATTGGCCGACCATTCACGAGAAGAACACGCACAAGTAAAAAAAGATTTGTATGAATTGGATAAAATGAAAACCAGCGATGCCAGTTACCCCAGTCTTATAGGAAAAGTCATGAAAGTGAGTTAGCTAGCCAGTCATGAAATGCAAGTGAAGGGATTGAAAGAATAAACGCGCGAGAAATATTAATCTTTATTTTTTTTTATCTTTTTTTAAATAATTAGGAACTGTTTCAACATATTAAGGAAGAAGAGGATACCATCCTCCCAAAATTCCAATCAGCTATTAATCATGATGAATTGAACAGCTTGGGCAAATCATTCGCTAATACTCGTTTAACTGCTCCAACTCGTCCTCATCCTAGTGCTCCTGACAAACCTCCAGCTGAAACTATCGGTAAAATTATATTATTCATTTTTTATGTTTAATATTTTTTTAATCATTATATTTCAATAATTTTAATTATTATGACGTAATAAATTCTTTTTTTAGCTGGAACTGCCGCATTACCGCTTGACAAAACTCGTGACGCTCCTCGTGAATTCGCCGAGACTATTCGAGAACAACTTGAAAAGGCTTACTAAACAAACTAAAAATAATTTACTAGAACAAATATTTTGGCTAAATATATTATGTAATGATTGCTATATTTGTCAATAAAAAAAATCATTCATTTTAACTGCTAAATAGTATTCCATATAAACAAATAATATTATTCTATTTTAAGTAATTATTATAAGATATCGTCATTATGCCATTATGGGGGGGTAATGAAAATGACGAGAGCACACATCATATGAAAAAAGATTTTTGATTATGGTTGCTCTTTTTTTTTTTAATAACGGATTTTTGTTTTCTGCACAAATTTTTTAGTCACGCGAACTCCGTGCAACGTGACATGCGCTCTATGTATAATATGTATATATGTAATTAGTATTGTTTTAAAAGTATAAAAGTAAGCCTTTTTCCTTGAACTTTTTAATAATTTTAATAATTTTAATAATTTTTTACAACATATTAATACACAAAAAAAAAAATGCATTTTGTAAATAAAAAATTTAAATATGGATATTCGTTGGATGATGGAACTTCAACAATAGTGTCACCACCTAATTTGAAAAAAATTGTTTTAACTCAACAAAATCCAAAATTTTTATTTTATGGAACAAGAACCGAAATTTTAGAATGGATGGAAAAAAATAAAGATATCATCATTGAGTATGAATCGGATAATTTATCCAAATCAACATCTTCTCCACCAACACCATCAGTATTGTCATCATCAGACAGCAATAAAGATAATAACTTTTTTATTAATTCTCCAACAAAAACTACAATATCCCCAGAATCTACATTCTTGCAAAATTATAAAAACATTGATAATGATAATGCAATAACATTTAATTTATATGGTATAATATCAGATGAACTGGTTTCTTGTAAACCTTTAAATTTTGCAATTAATTATTTAACATGCTTCGATGTGTTGTTGGAAATATTCCCAACTAATTTACTAAATAAAGATTATAAGAAATATTTACCAATTAAAACCACAATTCTACCATCTGGTATAGATTTACAAAGTGTTTCAAGGGAATTGGAACAAAGTTGGAAACAAACTTCATTAAACAATCATTGTGACAATTTATTATCGAAAAAATATATACCAATAATTAAAAAAGCCAAATCTGCTAATCCTTTTAAAGATGACGAAGGTGGTGAAGAAAAAAGAAGAAATAGTTTTAGCGAAATTACCAATGAAAAATCGGAAATGTTTGAAGTGGAAGAAGACATAAATAACTACAGCCATAAGCCATTCTCATTAAGGCAATATGGCAGTAGTAATAGTTTATTGGATTGGATCTCTACAAAACCTCCAACTTTTTATAGTCATAAAAATAGAGAAGCGTCAGCTTCTTCAAAATCAACCCCAATTCCACCCGGTATTTTAACACCATATATTATGGATGATATGATAAATCAAATGGAGGATAATCCAAGATTCATTTCTAAAGTTGAAGAGGCAATTAATGAAAATAATAATCATAATAATTATCATAGTGAAGTTGTTAATCTGCCTTTGTACGAACATAGTCATGATGATCTTTTATTAGAACGTGGTTCTTCCATGAAAAGAAATAACTTGTTATAACCTTGTTAGTTTATTATTATATTTAATCAATAATTTAATATCAATTTATAATTTATAATTTGTATATAAATATTAATTTACACTTAATAAAATAAATCATTTTAATGTTTTGATAAAAAGAGGCATTTAATTTTATTTTTTTATTTATTTACGGAAAAAATATTTATGAATGGGGAAGGTTAAAAAAAAAACAATTACAAGGAAATAAAAAGTATCATAATTTATTAACCATTACTGTAGTTTGGCCCGCGATATCCAACATTTCTGTAATTACGTGATACTCCGCGATATCCACGAGGCCTTCCTCTATTATGCTGGCCTCTAAAATTACCATATGATCCAGTTGATGGTGATGAATCAAATGACAATTCAGGTGATGGTGGACGTCTAAAACTTTTATTTGGATTATAACGCGTTGGTGGTCCATTCCTCATATATGATGACGTATTAGGCCTTGGTGAAAAAGAATACCCCTCACCATAATATAATCTTCTATATGGTGGTGGTGGTGGTGATGATGATGATGGTAATGGTGGTGGTGGTTGCGGCGATGATGTTTGGTTAAAGAATTTATCATTATTACTTGGGAAATTATTATAATGACTATTGTTATTATATCTACGATTCAAATGTGGTGGAGCTAATGGAAATTGATTCTTTATATGTCTATCGGGATTATACCAATTCTCATCATCTTGAGTTTTCCATCTTCCCTGATATATTTTTCTCATTCTTAAATCATCTTCATGCATGCTATTTTGTTTTGAATATTTTAATGTGGTCTCAAGCAATCTGTCAGCCTTATGATCAAAATATTTTTTATCTTCTATCCATTGAACTCTTTTTTCCTCTGACAAATCTTTTACTTCCTCCAATGCAATTTCATATGCTGATGAAAGAGTACGTAAAAATATCGCGTCATCCATATATTTAATCAAAATAAATCCTTTTTTCTCTTTATCGAAATCAATATCTACTGTCTTGTCTATTTTTTCCAATAACCAACAAATATCATTATAATTTTCTGTAGTTCTGGCTTGTTCCAATATCAGTCTGAATAATCTTGTTAAACCAAATGTTTTCAACATTACTTGATTCTCAACTGCATTCTCAAGAACTTCTTTTGCTGTGCTCAAATCACGAAGACTTTGACATGCTGTCATCAAGTATTCAAATGTTGTTGTATTTTGTACCATACCACCTTTTTTAAATTGGCTATGGTAAGTTTCAAGTGTCTTCTTGTATTGGTAAGTGAGGTTGTAGAGTGTAATCACACTATTATAGGTGTTAATGTCAAGTGAGAAATTCGGATATTTTGTCATAACCTGATTATAGTATTCTATTCCCAAATTGTATTGCCTTACTTTAAAACATAAACCAAAAATACTGACCAATACATCATTTGTAATTGGTAATATCAGAGCAGGCTTATTAGATGCAATTGCGGAAGTTGATAAATCTTCTTTTGTTGATCCTGAAGATTCTTTATCTTCTGCAGAAGGTGTGGAAACTTTACCAAATCCATAAGTGTTATCAATAATATCAAAAGCATGGTGTGGATGTTTAGTGTCTTTGAAAACTGAAATCACACCACTAACCAATTCGTTATCAACAATCACTGCGTCATTTGCCTCCTTGCTCTGCTGATCATCATGTTTAACCAACTTGTTCCAAACATCAGTTGCCAATTCATAAGTCGTTTCTGGTTGTTTTGAACAATTTGCTGAACATATGTTCAAGATTCGCAGGTAAGTCTCTTTGTTTGGTTTCAACCTACCGCTCCTAATCAAATTATCATAGGTTTCTAGTGCAACATTGAAATTGTATGCCTTTTGACAGGTAGCCAATAGAAGGTTGACATGTTCGATCTCAAGTTTGATATCAGGTCTTGTTTGACTTGATTGAATGATTTGACTGATGATAGATGTTGCTTGTGAGACTGGTTGACCTTTTAAAACTGCTGTATATGATTTTTGAGATGGAAGCATTGAAAGCCGTTTCATCTATATTCATTAGAGAAATATTAAATATTTGTCTTAATTTTTTTTTTTTAAATAATATTCATCAAAACTTTTACCTCATTAAATAATATGATTGACATTTTAGATCTTCCTTTATCGGCACATTCAATAATCAATTGATTCCAAGCCTCTGCATTTTTTAAATCAGGATTTTTTTCACTTAAAACCAACTTTATAGCTTCATCAAACTTGTTTTCCCCACTCAATTTAATAACTTTTTCATTTAGACTTTCATGTGAAGTTTTTCCAACTTTTGTAGTAGTTTCATTAGTCTTATTAGGATTAGGGGCAGCAGCAGTAGCAGTAGCAGTAGTAGCAGAAGGAGGAACATTTGAATCAATGTCATTACTAGTGTCTGTTTCCACTATTATTGAATTATCGACAGTATTATTTGTGCTAGTTTCTAATATTGAAGCGTCAACAGTATTGATTGTGCTGGTTTCCAATATTGAGGTATCTACGGGACTAATTGTACTAGTTCCTGAGATCAAGTCATCAGCAACATTAATTGTACCAGATTCTACTATCGTATTAGTATTGGGAGTGGCAGTATCCAATTCATCTTTTCTAGTACAGCTATTTGAAAATTGGCGTAAAATGACATTGTTATTATTATTATTAAATTTATATCCTGCCAAGTTATTAGTGTTAGTGTGAAAAAAGTAATAATTTTTCCTTGGAGGTATTAATAATGATTTTGATAATAACAAACGTGTTGGTACTTTTTTGCTATTTAGTAATAGAAAACTTTTAGAAAAATTTATAAAAGACATTATTTCTAAGAGGAAAATTTTAATTTTAATAAATGTAATTAAAAATATTCACGATTATCTTTTTTTTTGATCTGATTTCACTTATTTTAACAGGGGAAGCAAGAAAACCTAGTATGACCCTGGAAATCTTCAATAATTTAAGATGCAATTAATAAATTTTACATTCTCCTTCTCATAGAACATATTAATTACGCCTAGAATATAATGACATATATTAGAAACCAAATTAAATTAAATTAAGCAACTCCCTTCGATTCAACGTCTAAATCAAAAAAAAAAAGTTGTGTTGTTCATCCATATCTAATTTATACTGCAAAAAATTGAATATATTCATTCAAGTATTAAAGAAGAAAACTTAAGAAGCAAATTTTCATTATCATTATTTTTATTACTATTGGGGGAAACGTTCTTATAATGATATAAATATAAATATATGTTAATATGCTAATCGAGTAGTCGGACAGTTATTTATTCTTTATTTGTTCATAAATACTTTGCATCGCGATAAACTTCGATCTTTACTAAATAACTTTGAGCATTTTGATATAAAAAGAGTTTAGTAAATAGCTAGATTAATTATATTTATATTTGATTCAATTATCATTGTCATCAATAAAACCATTAATCACCATTCACACACGTCAATTTGTGGTTCTATATTCGTATTTTGTTCACCAATAAAAATTTGTAGTTAAAAATTTCATGTAACTTACTTTTTCTTTCGATTGGAAAAAAAAAAAAAAAATTTTTTTTAAAACAAAATGAAAAATACCAATCATAACGGAAAGAATAATAATAATGTTGGTAGCAGTACTGCTACAAAAATGGTTACCTCCAGTGGAAAGAAAATAAAAAAAAAACAAAACTTGCTTCGCTTAAGAATTAGAGTTTTGTTTAAGGAGCATGAAGATCGGTTTTTGTTTCATGGAGGGAATCGCATGAGCCTGACAGAGTTTAAGAAACAGGTCATTGATTATAGCATGCGAAGAGACGAAGATGTGACAAAAGAGTGAGCGTAAAATTATTAATATTTATTTATTTAATCGATTAATTGATTAATTTGTTTATTTTTATATAAATACAAAAATGCTAATGCTAATTCAAACCTTTTATTAATAAACTTTTATTATGTTGATATGTCGATGATAGAATGATGGATGAGGTGGCACTTTTCACTGAAGATGGTTATGAGGTGGCTAGATTTGAAGATGAGGCCAATGAACTTGAATTAGAGGATTCATTTAAAAACAATGAAGCTGTAGTTTTCCTTACAAAGCAATCAAATAGTACCCTATACAGATATGACAAAGAATTCGGTAAATATATTTGTTTTTCTTTTTTTACTCTTTTCTTTTAGACATAAACAAATGCCTTTTTTTTTTTTTACCATAGATTTAGATAGCCCGTATTCAGAATTGAATGTACATGGAAAACGTGGTTATGATTGTGTTACTGATTTTACAACAGATACAAATGATAACATTCTTCGTGGACCACAAAATGACATGGTTTTGCATAACAATTGGCTAGTTACTTCCATCAATAATAGTGTTAAGACTGACAATGATGAGAAGGATGTGGTAAATTGGCCAAATAAGAAGAGAAAGGTTGATGGTGTGGATGGTGTTAATGATGAAGTAGACGATAGTAATAACGAAAATACAATGATTATTGGTGATGGTACTAATGATGAAGTGGACGATAGTAATAACGAAAATACAATAATTATTAGTGATGGTGCTAATGATGGTGCTAATGATAACGTGGATGATAGTAATAATGAAAATATTGGTGATGGTGCTAATGATAACGTGGATGATAGTAATAATGAAAATATTGATGATGGTGTTAATGATGACGTGGATGATATTAATAATGAAAATATTAGTGATGACGTGGATGATATTAATAATGAAAATATTAGTGATGATGCTAATGATGACGTGGATGATAGTAATAATGAAAATACAATAATTACTGATAATGGCATTATTGATGAGGTGGATGATAATAATAATGAAAATACAATAATTACTGATAATGGCACTACTGATGAGGTGGATGATAGTAATAATGGAAATACAATAATTACTGATAATGGCACTACTGATGAGGTGGATGATATTAATAATGAAAATACAATAATTACTGATAATGGCACTACTGATGAGGTGGATGATATTAATAATGAAAATACCATGGCTATTGATGATAATACTAATGATGAGACAGATGATATTAATAATGAAAATACCATGGCTATTGATGATAATACTAATGATGAGACGGATGATGGCAACAATGAAAGTATGATAGATGATAGTAATAATGATGAGACAGATGATAGTGATAATGAAAAAGTTGACAGCCAATCTAAAGAATCAAAAGAAAATTCAAGTGATTCATCTGATTCATCTGATTCTGATAGTTCTTCTGATAGTTCTTCTGATAGTTCTTCTGATAGTTCTTCTGATAGTTCTCCTGATAGTTCTTCTGATAGTGAAAGTAAAGATGGTAAAGGCGATGTTGGTAAAGGCAATGTTGGTAAAGGCGATCCTGGTAAAGATGATGATGACAGTGATGGCTCAACTTCATCCTCAAATACTAGTGATGATGAAAATGATGACGATGATCATGAAAAGGGAGATAATGAAAAGGGAGATAATGAAAAGGGAGATAATGAAAAGGGAGATGATGAAAAGGGAGATGATGAAAAGGGAGATGATGATGATGATGATGATGATGATGATGATGATGATGATGATGATGATGACGACGACGACGACGACGACGATGATGATGAAGAAGATGATGACGATGATGAAAAAGAAGACGAAGACGATGATGACGATGATGACGATGATGACGATGATGACAAACAATACACTGATGATCTTGATCATTTAGCAAAAAGTCTACAGACTTTATGTCCATCATTTTATAATAATGGCAAAAAAAGAAAGAAATAAGGGACAGAATTTTGATTTTTTGATATTATAATAATTGCATAATAAATGTATAAAAATATTTATCCCATAAACTGTAATCACATGTTACAAGCTTCTGCAGCATATACAGTTTATGGGATAAAGTTCGTCGCAAATAATTTCCTTAACCCGATCTTTCTTATAACTTCCCAGCCAGATACATCATTACCCTGATTGATCATAATGATATTATTATTATATAATGAAAAATTTAATTTGCTGTTATTAATACAAGAATGCCTATTTACTATCATATTAATAACTTATTTCGAAAAATTGAAAAATAAAAATTGCATTATTTAATCAAACTTTAGCAATTGATTCATCATGTTTTCTATTTTAAAACTTTAAACATTGTCTCGTGTACTATGTAAAGGTTATTCTACGTACCAATATTAATATTGACTAATCTATATGTACAGACACTAAAGCACATTTCCTATTATTAATATTGTTGTGCGTTTACTATTACGCGTAGTTAACTTCAAAGTTCAAAAATATCAAGTTAACACAACTCGTGCGTGTGTGAAAAAGTTGCTCTACATGCCTATGCTTCAAACTCGGGTATTAAAGACAATTTGGTTTTATGAAATGTGGTTTGTAAAACTTTTTGCATTTTTATAATGCAAATTTATAAATTATTAGCTTTATACAACCAAACCTCGTTTCAATGAGTCTGGTTAGTAATCGAGTTTCAACGAATTTTTATACGCGCAGTAATACTTTTAAAATCCGTTGATTTATGCAAAGCAAAATCCCAATCGTTCGTTTATCCTATAATTACCAGAAGTTCTGCTCTGCGTTTGATTCCAATTATAATATTTATAATAACTAAAAATGTTCACAAGAATGCCAATAATTAATATCAATCATCCAATTAAATTAAATGTAATACAGTAAACCTTATTTTATTTTTCGCGGCTTGATTTTTTTAAAATATGAGGACTAAAAACACCAGAAGACAAAAGCCAAGGCCTACTGCTGTAGCTCCTATTAATAAAATAAACTTCTCAATAAAAAGAGCCCCACACATAATTGTTAGTGATGATGAATCACCTAACAAAAGAATACGAAACGAGTTGAATAATAATAATATTGATGATGATAGTGATACTGATGCGTCGACGAATGGTAAATAATAATACTATACGTGTTGTGTTAATAAATCAACCATATTTACAGTTATATATATTTATTATTAATATTTATTTAGAGAATTATAAAATGCTATTGGAAAATTACAACAGGCTTGTTAATAATTATAATGATCTAAAAAATGACAACAATAATCTAAGTAATAAAATTGAAAATATGTCAATAGTAATGAATAATTTGTTAGAAGAAATGAAAAGTATTAATAGGAATAATGGTAGTAATGAATATCAAGTTACGGAGAATATTAAGGTAAAAAGATATTTATTGGAGAATGATATTTAATTAACTTTAATTAACTTTAATTTTTATTATTATTATTATTAATATTATAATCAAAAGAGAATAATCAAAGATGCATATCGACGAGACTTGTTTGTCAAAGAGAAATATCCTCAAGATGTAGTTATTGAAAAATTCACTCGTCAAACATTAATGAGCAATTTTCCAGATGACGAAAGATACAGTGAAAGTGAGAAGTGGGATATTGTGTGGTTTACTCTTAGAGGACCTTCTTTAGAATTGTTTAGAATAATTAGAGGGAACGCTGTGAGAAGAATTAAAACTACATTATTTCAAAAATTCAAGAAGTTGGAGGCGATAAACAATGACGCGTCTATGAATCAAATATTGGAGTGGAAAAACAAAAAACCAACAAGAGATGTTCTCTTATTATTAAATGAAATTGAGGAAGATGAAGATCGAACTTATTTAGAAGTCATTACACGACTTGCATTTTCTCATGATAAAGGTAGAGTGAATGGTACTAACAAGAGTTTTGTCTGGGCAATTATAAATGGCTTCATAAGTGCAGAGAATGACTCATTGCATCTTGATGAGACTGTAATTATTCCATTAATGGAGAAATATCAAGTAAATTATTATTTATTATAATAAAATTAATTAATTAATAATGAATAAATAAATTAATTCATACATACATCATTCATTCATCCATTTTAGAGAGAGGTAGATGGTGATAGTCATAATATTGATGTTAAATTAGAATTTTAAGAGATCTGGTTGGTTCTTGTAGATTTATTTGGCACAATTTTTTTAAAAAGTATCATTTTGTGGAATTTTTCTTTTTCTTATAGCAATGGAAATTATTTTTATAGAAACACAACCTTGTTTCTAGTTATTTTATTATTAAAACAAGGATTAAACAAATTATAAATTTTATTGATAATCTTAAGCTATATTTTCTATTATAAATGGTAAATGATGAAAATTTGATTGATTTATTCATTACTTTAAAAAGTGATCCCAGATAATCTTTTTATTTGTCTTCTAATTAATCCCTCCCATGCCACGATTTGAACGTTTATTTAATTTAAATCAGTTTACTCGATAACGTTTTCAGATAAAATTTACTGATTAATAGGAAGTACACTTGTAAAGAAAGACCTCTCTTTTATTTATTCCTTGTTAAGCCCGAATAAATGATTTTTTCTTGGCATGTTTAATAAGAATAAACGTCACGTAAAAAGTTTTGATCGTATGTCACGTGTAATGAACTTTATTGCGTCTCGGTTTAACAACTATTATATATAGGTAAAAAAGATAAAGATATTATTAATTATTCATTGCAATCAAATTTTCTCCTTTTGGTTTTGTTCTGATTCTTCTCAAAGAATCCAGTTTATTTAAGGTTAGCAAGCAACATTTTTCATTTGCATTTTTGATCAGGAGAAGAATTATAATAATAAATGAATTACGCTATACAAATTAAATGAAATTTAATATTAATATGGACATTTTGATGTCTCTCATTGTTTAAAACCCGTTAAAAACTTGTTTAAAAAAATTTTTTATACAAAAATTTTTTTCGTTAGGTAATAAAATTATGACAGAAAGTGAGAGTAGCGGTGGTATCGTTAGAATAATTAAAGATTTAGCCAGTGGAACTGTCGGAGGGATTTGCCAAGTGTTAGTTGGGCAGGTAGGTTTACAGCTTCACTTTTTCTCGGATTCATTTGTTATTGTTATTTATATTTATATAATTATTTATAATTATTTTTGATTTAAAAAGCCATTCGATACAGTTAAAGTGGTAGGTTAATAAGTGTGAGAGAAATGTGAGAAGGACAAAAGAAATTGAAGAATCCCATTCAACTTCACAATTCTCATAAATCTTGGTAAAAAAAATCATGCATGCGTACATTCATACATGCAATCATACACACACACACATATCCATTAACGCTTGCAATTAACATCTATTATAAAGAGACTCCAAACGCAACCAACACCAAAACCTGGTGAGCAACCAAGGTTTACTGGAATGTTGGATTGTGTTCAAAAAACCAAGAAAAATGAAGGATTTAGAGCTTTTTACAAGGTGAGATAAAAGAAACCTTTTACACTCTTTTTCACACCCACACACAAGAAGATTATTACTTATTTTTAACAGATCAATCAATAATTAGGGAACTACAACTCCATTGGTTGGTGTTGGTGCATGTGTTTCCATTCAATTTGGGGCATTGGAATTTATGAAAAGGTTCTTTAACGAAAGGAATGGATACACTGGTAGTTTAACTAGCCCTCAATTATATTTAGCTGGTGCCATCGCAGGAATTGCTAATTCTGTGGTGTCTGGTAAACTTTGTTTATTTGCATGTTTCTTTTTAATTGATGAATTGATTGATCGAGTGTGATTAATCTAAATCTGGCTTAATGAATTTTTTTATAAAGGTCCTGTTGAACATATTCGTACACGTAAGCTTTATCATTCCTTCTTCATCTTTTCTTTTTTCCACTACAAAGTAGTAATGTTAATTCATAAAAGTCTATTATTTACTCAAAAATAGGACTTCAGGTTCAAATCACATCCACCACTGATATTAAACCATCATCAAAAGCAGTTTCAACAAAAATATACTCTGGGCCAATTGATTGTATTAAGCAGATATATTCTTCATATGGCATGAAGGGAATATATAAAGGACAAACCATCACAATGATTCGAGAATTTCAAGGTTATGGTGCGTACTTTCTTGTTTACGAATATCTTTTTCAAAAAGCAATGTCAAAAGAACAAAAGAAACGCAGCGAGATTGAAAGTTGGAAATCGTGTTTATATGGCGCGGCAGCAGGTTTGCATCATGATTGGTTGTTGTAATAGGAATGTTCATTAATAATTTAACAAATATCAATATTATTATTTTAGGATATGGAATGTGGTTGTCAGTTTACCCAGTGGATGTGATTAAAAGTAAAATACAAACTGACGGATTTAGTGGAGAGGAAAGACAATATAAAGGAATAATAGATTGCGCCAGAAAAACTTTTCGCAAAGAAGGAATCAATGGATTCTTCAAGGGTTTTGGTACTTGTATTCTACGTGCTGGTCCTGTTAATGCATCTACTTTTGTGGCATTCGAAATGGCAATGAGAGTCTTTGATAAATTATAAAACTTATTATGTGTGTATATATATATATGTGTGTGTATATTTACATATAATAAAATTATTATTATTATTTTGTATAATATATAATAAATAAACTTTGTATTTTCCAGTCGACTGCTTAAAGTAAAATCATATAATGATAGATTGCAAATAATAATATACAAACAAATTAAGATTAACATATAAAAACAGCAAGATTCAGAAATAGTGTACATCATTTTAAAACAAAATCATCATAAAATTCGTCATCATCTATAATTTCATCAATGATATTATCATAATCGTAGTCATATTCATCATCGTACCCATAATCGTACTCATCACCGTAATGATAATCATAATCGTCGTCACTATAATCAAAGAATATTTCATCATCTGGTACATCAACAAACTCGTACCAGTTTTCCTTCCATGGTATTCCTGTCAACTCACGATTTGAAAGAATATCAAAATCTTCATACAATAAAGTGCTATCGGTTCTGATGTTGACAACTTCCACCTTTTTTTTGGCTCGTTTCATCACACCATCAGAAATATTTATTTCAGATGCCAGGATTTTCAACGTCTTTAGCGTATTACCCTGACGCTTCATTACAACGTTGATATGTTTGTCACTTATACACGGTAATTTTTCAATGAACAAATATTCCAATCCTGCTTCACATTTTGCGAAGAACCTCTCCAAATTTTCAAGCTCACTACTCCACTTTGTGCTAATTATCAAAGATTTTAGACTAACTGGTATGCTGGCTCCAATAAGTGAAAGCGAATCGTCAGTATATTCAAAAGATCCGGTTATACTTAATTTTTTGAGCCTTGTACACGATTCCAATAAACGAAGAAAACAATCTAATAAAGGATTTGTAAAAGTTATCGAAAATTCCTCCAAGTTGTTTGAGCATTTTTCAGTAATATTACGGACGACTTGTAAGCAAGAATCTGTTTGAGTATGATCACATTGTAAAGCTCCTAAATATAATTTTTTTAACATCTGACCGTACTTGTCAATCAATATATTCATGGATGAAGGTGGTGGACGTGTATGCCTGAAATCAAGTTCTGTTAGTTTTGGAAGCTGTTTGACATGTAACTGTTCCAATAACTCTTCATCCACATTTTCACAGGCATTAAATGCCAAGTGCTGTAAATTTTCCAAATCTGTTATTCCTTCTAACTCATCCATTTTATCAGACATAAACATAGCATAATGGAAAACCAAATAAGTCAAAGTTTGCGAATGTTTCCCTAAAGCAGAAACAATAGAATTGTCATACACATTAAAATTATGAAATTCAAGCTTTCGTAATGCCTTTTGGTTAGTGATCAACGCAATCAGTTCTTTTATTTCTTCTTGATCAGAATTATTTGCATAATCTATATCTGGACCCTCGACTATTAGTACTTCGATTCTACGACAAGTTTTGGCCATCTCTTTATAAATATTATCTTTTTGAAATTTACCATAACAGCAAAATTCTCTAATCAGCGAAAACGGACTGTTGTTGTTAACCTTGCGACAAAATATTGGTGCTAAAGGTATCATCTGACCTGTTTCAATTGATAAATTAAGAAAAGCAGACGATCTATTCATAAATAATTTACATAAGACATTTGTAACCAGTAGCCAGTCATCAACCGAGAATCTACCATTCGACCAATGTTCAACAGAGTTGTAAATGTCCAAGTAGTTGAGGGATCTTAAATATTTAGGATAATTAAAAGTAGCTGATTTTTTCTTGAAGAAATGCTTGTTGTATTTTTTAAAAAATTTTCCTTCCTTAACACTAAGTTCCTCCTGATTTATACATGATAAATATGTTTCAACTAACTTTGCAGATCTGTCTAATCTTGTTAGAAGAAAAGGTTTACTCCACAATTTTTCTACTATAGTAAGGCACCATAATTTGTTTATTAATAAACAGGAATGTAAAGAAGCCTTGTCATTGTCACTAAGAAAACTTATTACAGCATGTATACAGTCTGAAGGTAAGAGGTTTGTCATTATTGTTATTATTTATGGAAAATTGTTGATGGACAAATAAGTGATCTGCAATAATGTTAATTATCAGAAGGTATTAGTATTAGTATGGGTTGGCTCGCTCCTATTGCTACGCCATGCGGCCAAATTTCAAAATAGCAGTAATAAAATTTTTCAATAGGTCTCACGTGATTTTAGTTTTCTTACCGTCAAAATTAGATACGATAGTCAAGAGCTAGTCTAAATTTGGTAACAATTTCCTAAATTTAGAAATGATCATAGTGAAAAATTCCTCGCGAGCATAGTAAGTACATTTTTTAAAAAGAATAGAACTCTACTACAAATAATTTTTTTGATAAAATCTCTTTATTACATTAAAACTAAAGACATATTCTATCAACTAATAGAGCTATTTTTTTAAAATGTAGGACAGAAAGTGACTTCTATGCTTTTAAAATTTGCCCAAAATTTAGGAGGTCTTTAGACCGAGCCAACTATATAATAAAAAATTCCACCTCTTTCAAAGGAGGACACATTCGCATATCTATAGTACAGTTGATATTACTGTCACCAATTGACAGCGACTTGTTTCCTTCAAGGTAATAATTTTAAATTTTTATCATCGCTGACATTTTATCAAAGTTCTCTTTTTAAATATTAATGATCATCATAATCATGAAATTTACATAAACAGTTGATATTGATGTTGAAATTAACAAGCTTCTCTTTATTAATTTTCTCTATAACTAACGTCTCTCTCTCCTCTTATTACTATAGCGAACAAAGACACAGAAAATACATATATGACAAGAGGATAATAAAAAATACCAAGTCCCTCTTGAAGAACAACCACAATTACATCCTTTTTCTAAAAAATCAATGGCTTTTTGATATTCATTAGAACCATTATACTTATTATTATTACTTTCCATATACACTTATCCCTATATGTATAATTTTATGTTCACTTTGTAGGTTTTTTTATAATTTAATATTTTTTAAAGTTTAGCATTTGAATGGAAAGCCAGTGTTCAATTTATTATAAAAAATCTTGACAAAAGAAATACAAACAAAGAATCTGTTTGCATAAAAACTCCAACCATTCTTAGCTTTGGTTTTACAAAAAAATATCCAATTTAAAAAACAATTCGTAAAGGAATAGAATTGTAACAAGTCACGTGTAACAATATTTATATTGTAACACTAATTTATTCATGATAATCAAACTTATTATTTTTATTATTAGTAATAGTAAGGAAAAAAAAAGAAAATCATTATTATATAAATTATATTATATTACATATTATAATATTAATTACTTTTCTCTCAAAAAAAAAACGGATCTAGTTACGCAACTAAAAAGAAAATCATTATATATTACATTATTACATTATTACATTATATTACATTATAATATTAATTACTTTTCTCTCA